TGTCTTGGTATAAGTTCGCGTAAAATTGTGCTTATAATTTAAATGCATTCGTATGTATGTATAACTTGGAGGGCCTCCAAAACGATTCATAATAAACAAGGGCTAGCCTGTATACAACAAAAACGAACCGACATGTATATATATATATATATATATATATATATATATGTATACATATTTGTATACACGTATTGGATTGAGGCCTAAATAAATAAGCGCATAAAAACCACAAACATGACAATGCATCCCATTAAGTTTTATAAACGTTAAGACAACAAACTGAACAGCAACAACATTATTATGCGTATGGATTCGTTATGTTCGCTATCGATTGCCAAAGGTATTATTTTGTATTCTTTATGTGCACACACATAAATGCGCATACACAAACATATATACATAAACATACATATATATATATATATATATATATATATATCGCGTACACTTATCCGCATTACAATACTCGGTACAAGGGAGGCGGTTGTAAGACAACTAACTTTGTGGTATTTGTACGTAGGTATGCACTCTAACTAACAACATGTTAAAAATCTATAAGTTTTGTCTTATACGTGTGTGTGTACGTATTTAGCCAGTCTACTGAATGTTGATGTGTATGCCGAGTGCGAGTGCGTGTGCGCGTATATTCATATATGTATATGTATATGCTTGTTTGTTTATACTTTTTTTTTCTATCTAAACCTTTTGATTATTTTCTGCATTAAAAGTCATTCGAAAAACACGAAAGTGTAGTTAAAAATTTTAACTTTATTAAGGTAAAAATATATCTGCGCTTATACGCATACGCATACGCGTATTCGTACGTATATGCATGCATATATGTATGTACAAAGGAGCAGACAACAGCCATTTATACTCTTGTACTCTTTGTTATGGGTAATCAGATACACAGATTGATATTAGTATACATGCATGCATGTTATATACAGTATATATATATATGTATATTTGTGTAAAAATATATTCTCGGTGATAAAAATTTCACATAACTCTTAGAATTTTCGTACACACATTCTATATGAAGATGAAAGTTAAATAATTTCATTATTATATATGTGACGCAGGACGGATATATTTAGCTGAGTATATACATTCTTGATCAACGTAAGATAATAAGTCTTTGCATTCATCCGCCCGTCTTCATTTTCTTATTATTCTCCTCCCTTATCAATGAATGGAACTGTCATCACTCGATCTAGTCTATGAATATTTCTTTCATCTTCTGCCAGTCTATCTCTATGTCGATTGAGCAGACTTTCGACGGCCCTCCTCCTGTTCCGCTTTACACATTCCAAAAATCTCAAACAATGTACTAGACAAGTGAGGTTATATATCTGAAGATCTATTTGTGAAGAAAACATACACCGAAAACATAGGGATGAAAACGAAGCCATGAAAATCTCTCCTAGAGTGGCAAGAAACTTAAATAACCTTTTCACGCACATACTTTTTGGAATTACCTACCACTTCTGGGCAATATTGATTTCGAGTTTAGAGTTGAGCAAGTGATCGATAAGAAGGGTGCCGGGTGACCCGTTTAAAGCTTAGAAGAAACTGCTCGTGGTAGAATGTACCTACGATTCGGCCTTTCCAGCTTTCTCACCTGATTTGATTATTCTTTCTCTTGTTTTTGCTCAATGTGAGTCTATAAGATTTATTGGAACAGTTAAGGAAGTAAAATTGCAGACCGAAGGTTGATTTTGACTCTATCCTTCTATAGGCATGAATATGCGAAACACGAACAAACATATATTTTGAAATACCCTACCCGAACATTAAAAACCGTAGGCGAGCCTTAGGATTATCCCCTGACAGCCTAATTAACGGACTAAGTCTCTGTGTATCTTATGCTTTTTTCCTTAAAGAAAATGCAAATAGTTATATGCCACGCTATCAATGCCGGCGAATTTGTTGAGATAGCACGGATTCTTATTAGAAAACTATTCAGTATGCAGTTTTGTTTTGTATTAATATTTTATTTAATGATTCAACTCAAAGATTTCTACTCAGCCAATCTAAGGTAAATATTCATTTGGTTGTTGTATGTTCAAAGTCATTTTAAAGTTCAAAGTATTTAATAAAATGCATCAATGTTTGTAAGGTTATTAAGCTCATAAAAAAATTCTTTTTGAGAACTGATCGCAGGCGAATGAAAGCCTTTACCGACCAAAAATTATATTCAAAAGTATAGCTTTATCCTTTTCATCAGCGAAGAGACAATTTTAATGTAGTTGTTTAATTGCGTTAGTATAGTGCAATATATTAATTTAAAACAGTTACGAGCAGAGTGCTGTTAAGACACTTTATTAACTTAGTGGTTTTCATTTTACATATATGAAAAAAAAAAGCAAAAAAAAAAATTATTCTTTTAATGTCACAGAGGATTTTTATTACATAACAATAAAGCAACTTGCTACATGCGTTCATCAGCTTTGATAGATATTTTCTTAAGCCCGATGAGAAGCAGGACGCATACAAACAGGGCTAATACGAAAACATTCACAAGAGTTTCTTGTGAAAAATATTTATTCTATAGCTGATTATATTGTCCACTGCAAGGGAGAAGGTCTCTTTAAAGATGAATAGAGGCCACGGTACACCATTACATACACTATACCATTTACTTAAGGCGCAAGTGGACGATAAACGATTCAATCCGAGCTATTTTAAATAGCATTCTTATCTGAGCCGAAACACGTCGATAGTGTAAATTAAATCGAAAATCAAGACGGACCGATGGACAGACAAGCGTCGAGTCATTTTCCGAATCGGTCAAGAAATTTGTTCCAAATTCTTCTGAATGTTGTGTATATTCGGACAAACTTGTACCGCAAATTGTGTACAGAAACTTCACTTTTTCTATAGATTGCAAAAACCGAAAAGAATGCCTTCAACCATTCGTGAACATATGCAGAATCAGGCGACATATCTCTCTGTCTCTCTGTCTGTATGTCTGTCTGTACGTTACATAGGCAAACTACTGAGCATGAGCTTCTCATTACTACCGAGACGATACTTGTTGAGCTCGGCGAAGTGAAGACAGGATTAAATTAAATATTTTCTTATATTGAATTATTGTTCGAATGATTTCTTCAGATAGATTCAAAATACTTTAGCGATGCTTAGTAAAATTCAATTTCGTGTGTATAGATGTTCAGCAGAGTGCAACAGTGCTGGTTTTTGTGTCATAAACAGACTGATCTTTACTTCCGAAGAAGTACATATTAATATTAACTGAAATAGTGCAAAGGGTATTCGCACAAAGTTTTGCATGTAAATACAATGGGCCATGTTTATGGCTTCGTCCCGATTTCTTTCCGTTCTTCGATGATTAAAGTGACAACCGGCGTCCTTCATTTAGCTCAAGAATTCGTGCATTTGGGCCACGTTTTGAAATGCATAGCATGACACTAAGAGTATAACGCAAGCTATACTGTAGGGATAAAATAAATATCGGCTTCAATACTATCCTAGTGCTACAAGAGTACAAACATTCCATGTTACTTCAACGATTGTTATTTTACACACAATAAATTTATTATATAAGCATACCTAAGTTGGGTGATTTGTTAGTTTACAGTACCGCGTTATCTTTCCGTAGTTCTCTGAGAAAACGCTTTGGAAAATCGTTCATGTTAGGCCAGCTCAAGTGGTCAAGTCTGCTAATTTAGAACGGGAAGCGTGAATCAGAGATTTCCATTGTCATGTAGCATTTTGATCCAATGTATAATTGCTACCTCTTCTTGAATGCGTCTGCCTCCATCAATATTTCAAAGGCGGTCGTCGTAAGTTCTGTCACAGATCGTCTAGATCGTCATGGAATGTTTTGTGAAACAAGAGTTTGCATATCTTACAATCGCAATAGCCACTGTCACAATGCAGAACAAATATTTTATTAAAGTTAACACATCTCTTGATATAATTATATAGCAATGTAACACTTTACAAGTGGTACAACCAATATTAAGTACCAATAAATTTCAAAGAATCAAGTCATTCCTTTCGCGATTGGGCGTTCTAAAGTCGCGGAGTAAAAATAAAAAGACCACGCGAAGAAACGGTCTTCTTTCGTAACTTGTTGTTGTTACATGCATGCATTCGCACGGTCTCTTATTGTGCAAAATATATTAAAATCAATAGACATTTGAGTTAAAGTCTGCATAAGAGGTAAACAGCTAGCTACAAGTACTATAAGCATTGACTATAATGCAGAGACGGCTATATAAACTAGCTTTTCTGTTATTCTGTCTGTCTGTGTGTGTGTATATATATATATATATATGTGTGTATGTGTGTTTTCGTAAAGAAGTTAATTGACAAGAATGTATATTTGTATGCCTTAAGTAAGAAGTATTTACGTTACGAAATGGTAGGAATTGTATGAAGGGCAGAGAAAACACTTTTAACTTTGGTCCTGTTTAGAGTCTCACTTAATTATGGCAATTATAAGCCGGCAGGCGGCAAAATTTAAAAAAGACCTTTAGTCAAATAGTATGCTTCGGCCCATATGGGGACAAAGTTTGTGGTCGATGTCGTTATGGCCTGAAAAGTTAAAATCTTTATAGTTAACAAAGTCAACTTGACTTTCGGTCGGAGCAGTCAACGTATAGTTAATTTAATGACTTGTGTTTCTATACGCGTATGTATGTATGTATGTATGTATGTATGTATGTATGTATACATATCCCTAGGTTGTGTGTGTCATTATAAATAGGTTCTCTAGACATTTGTTCATACATGAGTTTTTGTGTAGACAACGCAGTAATTTCATTAAATGCCAGCCGAAAGGTATACAGATTAGATGTAAAAGCACGTCCTCTCTCTGGTTAATTTATTAAAAATTTGTTCGTTGCTTTTTGTAATAAAACATTTTTCTCAAGAATCTATTCTCTTCATGTTTTTGTTGTTCTTACTTGCAATTTAATGATTTTTGTTTTTGCTTTAATTTAATTTCTCTTTATTTTTTCGTTTCATTGCAGATGTTAATAAAGCACCTTTAGGAGCACGAATAGTTTTAAGTAATTTTTTCAAACGTAACGAAAGGAATATTTATAAAAAAGAAAAAAAAATACGATAAAAAATACGATAAAAACTTCAATAGAAGCATTAAAAAGGAAAATAGTTTGTTTCTTTCGTTTTGGTCTTACTTCTCCGTTAAACGTATCGGACGCTTTAAAATGAACAAATTTGCTGCAATTTCGCTGATTGTGCTAGTCGTAGTGAGTTCCAAGCATTTCAACCAAGTCTTAGCCCAATCGAATTATGTGCAACACGGTGATAGTGGAAATTACACAACAAACGGTTTGCCCGAAGAGGCGACACTCGATGGAAAGGTAAGTACTATCCCCTCCTGGTATTTTGCTCGAAACTCAATTTGGAAATCGCATTTATACAATGACATATCGTGCACTTGGGCGACAAAAGGGTGGCACGTTATTAAATTGGGGAAAAGCGAACAAACAAAAAAAAGTATACTAAATAGCATTGCAATCTTGTGAATTGTGTGAGTTGAAAATCTGAAAGGTGAAATTTTTGCGGGAAAGGATTGCTAAGAATGAAAATTCCTTTAATTTTAGGAAAGGTTAGCCTCTCTGGCTGTTCAGACGTTCAATTTTACCAAATAATGGACAAGACTTATCCTAACCTTAAAAGGTTGAGGGTGTTCTTCAGTAAAATACACTGACAAAATCCATTTGTCATTGTCAACTTGAAGAAAGTCAATGTTGAAAAGAATGTTGAAATTTGAAAAGAGTCCTCACCTAGAACTAAAGCCTATTTAAATAATTCCTTAGCTAGTCCGAGTGACCCAAGTAATTCTAATAACCATTTAATCAGTGACATCTCAGTTCTTCAGTTTAGCGCTTCAGACGTCATCAAACCTCTAGCTTTTATGGCTTCTGGCGAATTTCCACAGATCAACGCCTATGCTTTACTCGGCACCACGACTCAAAACAAGCAAAAAGAGGAAATTCTCTTGACAGTGAGCTGAGTATAATGTGTTTCGAATTAGTCTTCATCTCGAAGGAGTATTACTAACAACATCTCAGAGGAGCATTGCCGCAAGAACCGAAAAGACAGATGATAGTGTGCGGTTCAAGCATTACGATGCCCGACCCCGTATAGCAAATTCAATTACTCCACCCGCCGATTCCACCAGATTTTGACTCATTTTGCAAAAGTGAATTTTCATTGCCACATGAAGTCATACATCGCCAGAATAACGTGATAAGTAGAGGCCAAGGATAGAAATTGTTTTGACCAGAGCATTTGTCTGTTCTTTAATAAATCAACTTTACTGAGTTATGTTTCAAAACACATTTACACACACAATATTCGAATATAAAATTCAATCGACTGGCATGTCCATAATTGAAGGATTTTTAAATGATTTGCGTCCCTCGTCAAACCTAGGCAATAAGTATGCATGTTCGATCATGTAGAGAGTGCAGTGTTGTTAGTCTCGCCTTTAAAATTCAACTTCCTTTCCTTATCGTAATAAAAAAGAAACTTGAAAGACTTAGATTATATTTTTTTTTTTTTTTTGCTTTGACATGTAGACAGATAAAAAATGGTTTTTATTGGCAACAATGCCAATCTTTTTATCCAACCACTTTTACGAGACTTTATTTTATGGCCAGTTAGTGCGACGCTCAAGCAAACGCAATTACACTAATGGTTTTGTTTTGTTTACAATGTACAGAAAGGAATGGGTTCTAACTCTTTAAAAAGGAAAGATTTTCTTCATCAATATATAGCGCAGCCGGCATTGCAATATTATGACTAAAAAAGAAGGAAAAACAACAAAAGATTCAAACAAGAATGATTCCAGTTGACTTAGAAGTGGGAGCAAGACTTCAATATTTCAATTTTGAAACATTTTAAGAAAATTGTGCTCATTTTATTTGGATAAGAAGCGGGAATTATTAAGAGATGGAAATATTTTTCTACGAATAGAACTGCTTGAGTGTTTTTATTAAAGGCCACTACTATACGTTCTAATCAAAGAGTATGGGAACTTATGGGAATATCATGGGCAAGATCAATGCTATAATATTCAAAGTTCCAACATGGCAGTTGACTCTTAAGCAGTTGTATTTCCTCATCAATATCTCACTAGATTTATAATGAAATCGATGCAAAATGTGATCACCATCTTCCTTAGAGTCTACTTGGTTGAGTTAATTAAGGTCGGATGAATCTGCAGGAGTAGCATGAGTGACAAGAATTGAGCCTAGTGAGAGAATATAACAATGCCATTTACGAAATTATTTGATTGAGGTCTATACCGTATTGAGAGAGGTAGTTAAAGCCATCTCAGAAAATTCTCCGATTATCATGCGAATCTTGAGAGCATGTACAGAATTCACTTTGTAATACCTTAGTTTATCTTTTAGTTTGTTGGCGGAAAATGCGAGTAGACTCGGCAAGGCTAAAAATGCACTTGGGTTGCAAATAGTTTCAACCCTAAGGTAGAAACTACCTCTTCGACTTCCCAGATACAGCGCGAAAGTTACTACACAAGTCATGTCGCTAACTTGTTCATGGATGTGACGTATGAATCAGCATTCACATATATGTTTGTGTAGTGTTACATTGATCATAATCATCATGAAATTCTATTTCAATTTAGTCATGTCCGTCGGCAGGTCGTCATATTATTTATCTAAGAATTGTCGTTATAAAGACACGAACAATGAAGAAATCAATGACAGATATAGGACGATTGGAAATTTCAAATGGGTTTCATCATCCTACTGGTGGTTAAGAAATCACATTGTAAACCAACCAAACTGTTCCAGCAACGCTCTCTTCACCCTTTCCTCGGCGACGCGGTTCCGTTTCTTCGAGAGTCCTCGAGGGTATCGGGGGTCGTCAGGAGAACCAGTACACAACCAGTAGGTTGTAGAAAGTACGGGTGGCTTCGTCGGAAGTATGGAAAATCCAAAATGCGAGTGTGGACTGACGAACGTATGACAAGTGTGTACCGATCACTCTAAAGTGTGCTATGAAGTATGGAATCCACAGGGGTCAGGCACACGGCAAAGTCACGAGTATCCTAGTTAATCAAGCTATGGTCAAGCTATGGTACGTCTAGAAGCTTAAGACTTGGCAATAAAAGACATTTTTGTACATTAAAAAGCATTTTTTTTAAATAAAATTTTCGTGCAGGCAACAGTCAGAAAACACAACTACTGACTACTACACTGACTACCGACTCTATCTAAGAAGAATGCATTTTTCGTATTTGATTATTTTTAATATTTGAGAGTGAAGTGAAAAAGTCTGTTAAAACAGGCCACGTACTTATATCAACTAAATAAAATTTTCAAAAACTGTTTGATTTAGGTCGAAAGTTCTAGACCTTGCGTTTCAAGCTAGTTCATGAAGATAGATGTCAACTAACGGTCATGTCAATCAATTGAAAATTATCGGAATTATTGTGAAAAGATGCTTAGTTGCTTTGCTAATTCCGAATATATTTGAATGAGCGACTTGAACGAGTGGAAATCCAATTTATTTCGATCTACTTCTAATATGATTTTCTTGCAACAAACCGCGTTCATTTTCTTACTTGGCTTAGTTAAGAGCTAAGAAAAGCAAACACAAAGCGAACTATTAGTTCATTGTGGAACTAGTATAAGCAAGTATGAGTGTAATATTTAAAGTTAACTGAAACAACTAACAATTTCACATTTTCTTATGACTTGATATTGTTTTCCATGTTTTTAAACATCCAGATATTTACAAAGTCATTTCTCTCTATATATATATATATATGTATGTATGTAAGTATGTATGCATGTATGTATAATAAAAAAAAAAAAACAGTTTTCATGCATGAAAGATGAAAAAGTTCAGTTTATCAATGAGAAGATTTTCAAAAAAAAAAAAAAAAAATGTCTTCTTAAGATTCAGTTTTTAATAATTTACCAGAGGGAATCACATCTAATAATAAAGATTGACCTATATATATAGTAATTAGAGAGCGGGGAAAACTTTTAACTAAGCGGTGAGAGAAGTAGAAGAGCATAACTGTTACTCTTTGTTATGGAGTGTATAGGCATTTCCATCCAAGCGGGCATACTGCATGTACACATGTACATGCACGTATACATATTATTCATATTTATTTACATTTTACACTTCATCTGCTTATTACGTAATGTATGTATGCAAGTCATAATTAATATTTTTCCACCATGCGATTGCCTTGCATCTAACGTAACGTAATACCGTGATAACAAGTCAACAGACGAGCGCTTCAGCTTGCAATTTCACATGTGTACGCATTGACGACAAACTCTTGCACGAGTATGTTTATTCACATATACGTATCCTATACGTACAGTATTTTGCATTTAACAGTTTCACATTTTGAGAGAATAATCAAAAAAAACCCTAAAGAATTTGACTTCTGAACATGGATGAAATTGTATATTTGTCTGAATTCCGGTCACATATGCTGATTAGCTTGTGAAAAGCATTTCCTCGAGCCTTTTTTATTCCTAAAATTTAATTAACAAGTTCATTGAAAACTAATGTACTCTGTAAAAAATATTATACACAAATTAGAGCATTCAGTGCATTGTTGGGAGTAATTCAAATTAAATAAGTTAGAGAAAACAACATCAATCTTGATAACTAAGATTTATACTTACATGAATCGATAAGTGTTGAAAATTTTTCGAATTGAAGAGAAATAAAGAGGGAAATATAATAATTCATATCGACTGAAGAAAATCAATTTAAGAGATTGCGTTGGATATAAAAACATATATAGAAGAGTGTGATCTCAGTTGCTCTGATTGTTAACTCGAGCATACATTTTTCGAACATCAATCGGCATTAAAACGTTGATGCAGAAACACCTCCAAGCAATATACGCAGTAATCCATGGGTATATAAACGCAGCAGATTTCTAGCGAATTTTCTCAAAAGTCAGAGAAATATATACATTCTAAAGCTAAACTGTTAAAGCGCTACGCATGTAAGGCTATCGGATTAATTGGAAACTCCAACGCACTTAACATTCGAACCCACATCCATTGGGTTGTTAGTTGAGATCCTTTGCCTGCTCGGCGACTCAGCCGAATCATTTCAATATTGAAATCTACAAATATGTCTAATTTATAATACATCGGTCAATAATTTCCGGGAATAGGAAAAACATGAGTATTTTTGTTGCCAAGTTCAACTTTAATCATAGCTTTCTTATTTCGATCTCATTACTTCATTCCTTGAAGCATTTTTTTGAAATTTGAAAGAAGGTAGTTGTCGCTGAGACCAATTGTGAACAGTGCCTTGGATTGAACAGTGATTTGAATTTCAATTCATGCAATTTTCCCACCATTTGCCGGTGACCTGCGACATGATCGTTTTGTTTTGCTGTACTATCTTTTTCTAAGCGCAGTTGTAGTTAATAAAACACCTACACCTCTTCACAACATTTCGCTCTACGAGAGTTTTTATTAGTTGATAGCAATTCGCTTCCAATAGCCGAGAGAGTTATAAGTATTGAGTAGAGACCTGCGATCTTTGTAAGAGATTGGCGACTCCACGTTCATAAAGTTTTTGGTTATCACTTTCAAACAACTGACCCAAGTGTAGTATTTGGCTACGATAATTAGTGAATATTTACTACTTATTGAAGAAAAAACTGCTGCGTAAAGGAAATGTCCATAGGACGAATGGGCGATGAGATGTGCTTTTCGCATCGGCTTTTGAATCAGCTTGCCACGAAAGGTAGCTTAATAACATCTTGCATTCCCCTTTGAAACCCTCGTCGGCTTTCTTCCCTTTTTTAATCCGAAAACATTTACAGTAATTCTGCCAAAATACTTCCATACTTTCTTGGTGCTTATAATGCTATGCAATTGTCAGAAAAAGATCAAATATCAAAGGAAGCACATAATAGAAAAATATTTGTATTTTTACAACATACAGATTTTCGGAGTTGACAATGCGTTCAAAGTTCAAAACAGGGTACATGATATTTTTTAATACCTTGCATAAATTCACCTCTATTATTAAGTGACTTATCATTTTCTCAGGTTACTAAATTGGATGATATAAGTCCTTTAATATTTTTGAATCGCACCAAAGCTGCTCTCAACTGTGCTGCCGGTTCAATGCAAGTAAGCAGTACAACATTTTATATCGCTTCTTTGCGAACTTTAATACAATTTCGTTAATATCAAGGTCGACATGAAATTTAATGAACCATTCCATGGTATTGTACAAGCAGATTATGATCGCAGTAGCGCTTGTCGTGTAAACGGCAAAGGTGCACTCAGTTATCGGTTGGAATTACCATTAAAGGGGTGTGGTACTATACAGGTTTGCGTTTTTTGCATTCGAAAATAATTTAAATCATGTAATTAATGCGTACGAAACTTTAGAATCCGACTAGGGTGTTCACTAATAATATAATCGTGCGTTTTCATGCGAATTTGGAAATGGATGGTGACGAAATCATTACCATAGTATGCCGTTATCCACCGCCAATACCATCATTGCCGCCTGCCTTGCCAGCACCCATGTAAGTTGCTCTTCTATTATTCATTTAGACAATTTCTAATTTTATTTTCGATATTGTAGCTTAAATCCTATAGCGGCAGGTACCATCGTTCAACCGCCTTTGAAAGGCATACAAATTCTAATGATTATTTGTGCTATCATGTTTTTGACTTTGTTATTACTTGGCTTGGCCGTTTCCTATTATTGTTTGCGTAGTCGTCCTATCCCAGTTGTACGTCGCCTTCCCATGTCAATGGGTAGCGGTTCGGAAATCACTAAGCTCAGTGGCAGCAGCATGGGTATACCTCCCGAGTTTGAAGGTGTAAAAATACCTCGAGCGCATGCTGCTTTGGCAGCCGTTCACAGCTCATCGGGCAGTGAGGGTGCTCTTATACCCTCCGATTATCCCAGTGAATCTCATTCAGAAATTGAAGAAATCGATACCAGGTAGGAGAGGTTCTCATATCTTACTGTTAATAATTTGTAAAATTTACCTATATTTCAGATCACTGCCTTTCAGTTCAGCAGGCAGTTTTGAGAATCGTGCATTTGTTCAAGAGACTTCTAGTATCTATAGCGATCATTATGGTCATACCCAAGAAATGCAAGCGGCAAACGCTGTAAGCTCATCCGTGCCCCGTTTGCCAATTGCTGTGAAAGAGTCCCCTTCACCGAAATTTGATGTTCAAGTTCGTGTAAAAAAATCACCTCCTCCCCCGCCATCGCCACAAACATCAGACACAGAGAGCGTAGCCACTCTCAGGCCTGAACGTAACAATCTCTCTACAATAATGGAGTCTCACGAAGATCGAGAAAGTATAATAACAATGGAATCACTGCCAGGTCAAGAAGAAGCCTTGCAAACTCAATTTACCTATACTCCAGACTTGCATCCAGTTCCTCAACATTCTGAGATTACAATACCTGCCCAACCACCGCAACCTGTGTTCTCTGTTTATACGCGTACGCATCATGAAGTTGTTGACGGACGTCCTGAAACGTGGTCTGATTATACTGATGGGCCAGCTCGTAGCGAAGTCACCGACATGACCTCCGAAGCACCTGATATACGTTCGGTAGCAGAAATGGTGGATACTTCACACTTTATGGAAACTGAATATTTGCCGCCCGAGCCACCAATTGTCGTCAAGAAGCCGCAAATTACTTCGCACACGGTAAATGATGTTTATTTGCGCACCATAACTGAAAAGAAGACCATTGAAGATATTGAGAGTCACAAACGTAAAATTACGGAATACAAGCCAAAGGCTAAGCCACTGCCTCCACCTGTACCAGATCCAACTTGGGATGTTAAAATACGAAATTATCCATCTGAACGTGAACAGCAGATGTGGGAGAACTTCTCCGATATATCTAGTGCATCGGGAATGACCATGACTCCGAAGATGGAAAGATCCGAATTAACATTACCTCCTGTAAAGCCTACGGAACCACTACCACAAATTTATGACAACAAGCAAAAATTGACCAGCCCCGAGCTCGTTGTTAATATGAAACCCATTGAAATGCCGCCCGAAGACAAAACGGTACCCAATTGGGATGTATTGATACGAGTTTTAGAAGAGCCAGAAATGTCTGAGGCTGATGATACCAGCTCTGTGCATTCAAGCGTACATCCCTTGACGCGATTTATAAGTTACGATGACAAAGCTAAATGGAAGGAAATTATTACCACGGCATCTTCATTGCGCACGATGTTAACTGAAGCTGTGGTACGAGAAGATTTCGAACGTATACGCTCGGATACTAGATATGAAAGGATTTTTGAACCTCAAACTTGGGATGTAATTATACGAATACTGGCACCTCCTTCCGATGATGAAGGTGACGTAGATTTACGGGCTCCGAAGCGAGGTAAGAAAACTCAACCATGGGATACACGTTCACGACGCAGCTCTTTACCCACACTCTACGAATACGATAGCGATGGTGGCTCGAGCGTGCGCACCATACGTAACGATCCCTCAATACTGATGCATCCAACGGCTTTCAATGCACAACGTTCACGTAGATCGTCGCGTACATCGTATCACACCGATCAAAACGATTTCCGTTCAGTCTCCGAGGTAACAGTAGATTTCGGACGTCTCGACAATATGTCAAATGCAAGCTCTTTTTATCCTATGCAATATGATGACGATGATTTATCCGAGAGGCCTTCTTTTCATCGATCCGTTAGTCATCCATCTTTGGCTCGCTCCAACAGCGAGTTTACTGAACATTGGGTTGCACCCGAAGAGCTTTCTTCACCCGAAGGAACTCCCAAATCAAGAAGATCACAAAGATTGGTATGTTTTATTTTTTTAATTAATCAATAAAAAAAAATAAAAAATAAAAAATGGGGAAATAAATAATTTTATTATACATATAAATGATAATAATTTTAGATTGCCTACCAACGATTGCCAGCACCACCACCGCCGCCGCGAGCTGGTCGCATCGTTGCGCAAACACAAAGCGAATACGTAGAAACCAGACGCACAATTTTCCGCTCGGGCAACGACAGGCAAGCTACAGAATGGTAAAAATTGGGAATTCTCGTCAAGGAAAACGCATGAGCGGCAGGAACCGCGTCTAAGTGAAACTAAAGAGGAAACTAAACAAATACCCAATTACAACTAATTCCCTAAAAGAGCTTTACAACACTTTAAGTTTCCGAAACAGTTAAGCATTTTTCTTTAAAAAAAAAAAAAATTTTGTTTTTCTTTCCCTTCTTCTATATATTTCTTAACAAAAAAAAAAAAATTAATTCAAGTGCCAACTAACTTAAATTTTATTTAAACCTTCACAACTACTTTTTGTTTTGTTTTGTTTTTTTTTTTTTTTTTACTTTATTTCTTGCCGAACAATGATTCAACGGCTGTAACTATACTACACTACACTACAGTCAAATATTTCATAAACTTTGTAATAAATTCTATACTTAAATGCGAAGAGAAAAGCAGCTAAATACTTATTTTTTATTTTGAATATATTTAGAATAATAATAATAATTTTTATACTCGAAAGTTCATGAACAAATTGTAAAGAAATAATAATCGTTTTGTTAACAATTTTAGTTATCTAAAAAACTTGATATGAAAATGTGACAATCAAAGCAAGTTATATAAAATAGAAAGGGGAAGTGTGTCTTATATAAGTTCTACTTTGGTATACGAACAGGAAGAATTAATTGTTTTGCAGGGGTTTCAAAGTCATATGAATTCAGTCTTGTATTAAGCAAGTGCAGGATTAGTGCTACAAATACGAAATTCGCGAAACGCTTTAAACAAATTTATAATAAGTCGAGCACGAATTCATTATTCATTCGAGTGTATAAGTCGTAAAAAGAAATTCTGAGTAGATTTTCCTGTTTCTGGTCTCTTTTGGTGCTTGGCAACAAACGTATGCCTCCAATATAGCTTCATGGTATTTAATTCTAGGGTTTAAAATCTTTAACACGGAGGAATATGCTTCTGGCTCCTGCAAGTTTGTATTGTTGTATATATTTGTTAAAATCGTGGGTTTCTCTTTCTTGTTTTTTTTTTTTTTTTTTTTTCATTTATTTAATTGGCTTTGTCGATTGTTTTTGAAAATTTGCTAATTGGATTGGATTTGCTGACATAAAGTCGCTCGCACTAGAAAAATGGGTATATGACAGTTTTGTCTTGTAATATCCCAATGTACACACACACACACACACAAACACATACACACACCTGATTCCTGATTCAATTTAATTATGCCATTTATACTCCCCGTTGGCTGCTGCAGCTCTCATCGTAAAATTGTAAAGTCGCGTCTTTGTATTTATATTCTTTTTATATTTTATTATCAATTTGTACTTGTCTTATTTTTCGAAACATATGCAAGAAAAATAGATTATTTATTTATTTTTTTGATTTTTTTTTTTTTTTGGATCATGCAATCACAAGCCATACGAAATGGCGATTTAATACCGGGTTAAAATGAGTCTGATCAGAGCTTTGATTATGCCCAAAGTTAGCAAAGAACAATTGCCAAGCTTATCAAGTCCAACTGAAATCAATCCTGCCAATGCAATGAATCTTTATAATGCTCTTTAATATTATTTCACCTTCAACCTACACACACATTCACATATTTATTAAAAATATTCATTTTCGTGTTCTTTGTAAAATAAATAATTATTCCACGTTCTCGGTGTAACTTTTTAATCGCCATCCAATAATTACTTTGGCCACAAATCGTTCTTGATATGCGTCTGCAATCGCAGCGAAAGCATTTTCAAGTCGATAAGTAATCGAAATGCCTTTCTTTTCTTGCTTACTTGATTTTTCCACCTTGCTTAATTAATAATATCAAGTTGATCGGTCGCATTTTCATATTAGGTAAACATTTTGTAATTTTATACTTTTATATATGGAAAACAAAAAAAAGGAAAAATAAGAAAAATAAGAAGAAGAAGCAAATTTGACTCTTTTTCCTTTGTTTCAAGTTAAGTGATCTGCAAAGATTCAGCAAAAGAAATTTGCTGAACAAATTGAAACATTGAAAACAGTTGAATTAATTCAATTACTGGTAGAATATCTTTACAAACGTATACACATACTACTTTAATATATGCTTATACATATTTACACTCAGTGATGGTGGCGGGATACTTTAATAAAATTATTTCAATTTCCTTTAATGTTTTTCTTTCTCTTTCTCTTTCTTTTTTTTTTGTTTTTTTTTTTTTTCTTTATATGATTTTATCGAATTTACATTTTGCCAGATGGGTGTTTTTATTTCAATCTATGCGTATAAAAAATTCAATTAAAACGAAAGTGAAGAAAAAAAAACAAAAACAAAAAACAAATAAGGTATTAATTACTTGGCTTACAATACTTGTAAATGTAATTATATGCAATGTTAAGGGAAAATATTAATTTGATAATATGTGTAATTAAATTTTAGGTGAATGGAAAAGGAAAGCCATTTCATCAGATTGTATTTTAATTAGCAATAATTATAAAAAGAAAAAAATATTATATATGCGTATATGCAAAAGTCTAACACAAGATTGTATCAAGATATACAAAAAAAAAAAAAAAAGAAACGAAAAGAAAAGAAAAGGAATTATGTAAATTTAATCTCTTGATAAATATATAAGAGCACATTTAAATTGCTTAGAAACTCATTCGTAATGATTTACATAAATAAAATTAAAAATGAATTAAATTTTACTAACAAGAGAACATTTTCCTGACGTTTCATTTATCATGATGGCAATCCTTATCCTTATGCAAGAACTTATCCTTATGTTAATTGACTAAAATAGCTTCAGTAAGTTATGCCAATATTCTTCATTTCATAGCAATCAAGTGAATGGCTGCGGTCATATATGGCACATTTTGCCTACAATAGCTGTGGCATACCGCACTGAATGACATTCACTTTTAATCCTTACACCATGCACATTAGGATTGTGTGACATAATCTTTCTTAGTGAAGTGCAGCAGATAGTTGGGTTTAAAAACACTTTATTGTCGCGTTGCTACAAATTTATAGTCGATAAGGCATTTTCTCTACGGTTAACGGAAAGTTAAGTGACAATAATCGCAGTGACAATAATCTCGGAACTTAAGAACGATCTTTAAAAAAATGTCTGGTCCATATTTGTAGTGGTTATCGTCATAAGAATCGCGGCAACATTCGAGTAAATAACAAGCCATCTATTGAAACTCGTGCTAATCAGAACGAGTAATGTCGGTTGAGAACAGCGTAGAGGTTAGGACATTCCAAGTTGTAATTATAAACATCTTTTCAGCGAGTTTTGCTACTTTGGCGTCAAATTCGTTCACACTGAAACTTTACGTCACGTGTTGAGATTGGACATTTGGGCCAATGAATTATCGTTAGTAGCATTTCTAAGTGGCGGTTTTGTTCTGTTGGAACGAATCGTAATATGGGAATTTAGCTTCATCGTCCATGTTAGGGGTTCGCCTACTCTGCGTCATGGTTGCTTGGATTTTGAATGTTGTAATGCGTCCACCGTTCGCCACCCATAAGGGCTTAGCAACGCTATCCTTCGAATAAGGCAGAAAAATAAAAGTATCCGCCAAAGTATCCGACGTTATTTTGGCATAATTTGAGGACAACATTGTTTTGAAAGGCTGATGATGAAATGATGACAGTTTCGTTCAACGGACCAAACTAGATTGTACTTCTAACAATATGTACATTCCAGGTTATATGCATTTATTAAAAATTTCTTACCTTTTTACTGTCAAACGTCGCTCATCGACAATATCTCAGAGAATTTTCAAAAAATTGTTAAGGTCGAATTACAATTCATTATCCACGGTTTTGTTGCTTTTTAAGCCTTCACTTCGTAGAAATGCATGTCAAATGAACGGCAAACTTGCTTTGCAAAAAAAAGAAATGAAAATAATAATAAACTCCTGAGAATTGCTTTGAGCCATCCCTACAAACATTCTGATCACATCTAAACACATAAGTCGATTCGAAATTTTGGTAAGCGTTTGTACAACTGAAACCCGAATTATAACCAATAACAAAGATTTTCTTAACCGGACAGAAAGAAGCAAAAATTTTTGCATGGCCTGAAAGAAAGCGCATCATGTTTTTGTTCTGATATCCTAATGACATACATATATTTGTAATTTTGATTTAATTTTTAAAACCTTGCTATTCATTCCTTACTCCGTCGCCCGATGATTGCTCGCAAAATCACAAAAACTAACTTGGGTGCATAAGTTTTTGCCTCAATTTCAAACATGAAATTAAAGAAGCAAGAAAATTATATTCGGTTGCGACCGCATCTTTTATGCCTATCACCGTTATTAGAGACCGGGGAAGCAACAGTGTTTTCAGTTTTGGTTGTATAGACATCTGAGCGTTGTAGGTGATATCTTCTTCTTTGTGAACGGGCGAACGACGGACAGATAGACAGATGAGCATAAAGACACGCTTAAGTGCATTCCGAATTTGAAATTGGCCAAGATTTTATATACTCTATGGAGTTTATGAAGCTTGCTTTCAATCGTTATAAAGGTATTGAAAAAAAAAAAGGGAAAAAATTGGGCAAATTTAGCGAATTTTTGCCATCTTTGTGCAGGTGCTGCAGCGTCACCCAGAAAATATACATTCAACTTCTTATAGTCTTGTCTGCTGTAGTTGATGAGTAATAAGCAAGACACCATTGCTTTTTGTGGTCAAGGCAATGGTTTCCAGATGGCAGACGGATAAGCGATTCAGAATTTGTTGCTAACCAAGAATACATACTCTTTCTGAGGTCTCCGAAGTTTCCTTCCGGACGTTGCAAATGTATCGACACAATGAGTATACCCCTAATCCTTTGATGATGGGTTCAAAAATAATAATACCATGTACAAGGCTGCAAGGAAACTGTGAATTCAGTAGGATAGATGCGAGCATATAAGACATATAGACAAACATAACGCAATCTGGTGCCATCCTTTTTCCATGTTAATTACAAATATATATATGAGTGTATATGTGAGGCGTTCATATAATTTTGTCCCTTCCTTGTATTATCATCACATAACTTTTATCAGATATCGATCCGCAATTCGTTCGACATAACTATGTTAGCATTTTTTTAATAATCCCAATTAGCTTATGGAAATTCTGTCACCGTAAAGTAAAATACCGTAATTGCGCAGCTTGTACGTGTAGTGAAAGGCAGGACTAGTGGTCACTTTGAAAACTCGAAAAACAAACAAAGCTCTATTACTCGTTAAATATTGCGATAT